AAAACATCTGGTTTACCGCCATGAAGAACAATAGCCATGCCATCTTCATAGCGTTGTGTCATGTCTCGACAACCTTCAATAAATGATGATGGAAATATTATTCTTTTTCCAATGTTTTCTATGATGATTCATGAAATATATTAGTTCCATAATGCATGAAAGATCATCATTATAAGTACAACTAATTTGTAATCTGAAAATATATATATTTATGCTACATTATTTAGTACCTGCATTAGTTTCACCAACATGTAAAATATCCTGTAAACCTTGGTACACTTCAGCACATATATCATGTTGGTGCTCTCTAATCCACCTTAACCTCCCTGATTCAATTTTGACATAATTGTCTACAACATATTGTTGCAATAGTCGATCCGCATTTAACAACATTGATTGATCATTTGGGCGAATCTACAATTCATTGAAAAACATGTCGGTGTTAAAAGTGATGTGTTTTAAACTACGCTTATCTAAGCATACTATTTACTAAAATTAATCTAAATTTACCTGAAGCAAGTAACTGTAATATGCTCGACATGACAATCTTCATCCATTACAATTTGTTGTGTTAACATCCCAACCATGTGTCCCAAATGGAAACAATATAGGATACTGCAAGGGATCATAATATCCCTTTGTCTCTTGAACTTTCTTTAGATTTCCATCATCACGAATGACATTAATATCCCTTCCATATTCCATAGAACCTGAATCTCCTCCAACATTAATTGTCGCAAGTTGTTCTGCAGTTGGAAGATTATATTGATGGTGATTACTTGGACACTCTTTAAGTATGAAGCTACATTCATCGATATTTGGAAGTTGTGACAATTGTCTGAACCTAATTACAAAAGGATTAAACTGATGGAACATTTTTTTGTAATTTTTGAACTATATTTTGGTGGAGTTGTGGATTTTCCTGCATTCTATTATGTAGCTCATTATCTGTGTCGTAGATGTATATCTGTAAGAAACGTGGTCTTGCACCCTCATTTGGATAGAAACCTCCTATGTTATGGTAAAAAGAACCTTGAGCACGAAATGTATATATACCACGACCAGATGTAAGAATATTCTCATCAACGTGAACACCAATTGAAGTGAATGAAAGCACATGGTTGTACCTTCAGATATGTTGCCTAAAATGCCTTCCTTCTACTGAACCATCCAAAAATAATTGTTTCATGAAAATGATACCTTTCCACCAGTACAACACGTATCACGTGATTCATGCTGAAACAATTTTGCATTGCAATATCTACAGGTGATTGGATTAGGCAACTGGGATTTTTCCATCATCGAATTAATTTTGAAATTTTGAGCAATACTGTATCTTGCTCGAAAAGCGCGTCGTGATGCTACAGGAAAGAGTTTGATATTGATTACTAAATATTATCTAAAATTTAAAATACAAATAAATAATTAACGCAAGATTCCTAAATTATAAGATTTAACATTGCATAATTTTCAGTTTTATGTCACTTGAGTATAAGCTACATTATTTGGCACAAAAATGTTTATGAACATACCTTGAAGACAACATGATGCACCATCATCTATGGCTTCCATGTTAACATCTGATATTACTGCATCTTCCAAGGCTTCATCAACATCCATATCGCCTGATACAAAAATAATAATTAACATATATACATATATGTGTTAAAATTACTGCTCGCATACTTAGAAAAATATATCGTATACCTGTAGCAAATTGACTATTGTTGGTACGTTGGTTAGGTGATGTGCAATTATGATCTGCGGGTTTAAATACATAAAATGAGAGATGACAAATAAACAATATTATACAATGTACGATTATAATGTCTATATTGATCATCACCAACCAAGTGCAACATCATTAAAACTCCATAGATCCTTAAGTTTAGGTGGCTGCTTGTTCTACTTTTATAGCGCTATAGTCTACAATCAACACTACAGTCTCATGATCCTCTAACTACCACTTGTTAAAGAAGATTCCTTTCTGAAACTTAGCATAGAAAGATATTTGAGATAGAGACTCTATGAAAGGTGTTGGGTGAGAATATGGAGTGGAGAAACAATCTAGAGGGGTGAATAAACCCTTATTAAAAATTTAGACCAATTTTCCAAAAATATAATATCACAGTTTTTTCAAAAACGTGCGAAAGTCTTAAAGAGTAAATAAAGATCATATGCTTATATTGGAATCTAACCACTTTGGCAAATACACAATTCACAAATTTCACAGATTATTCAAAGATAATGATTAATTGAGTAATTGTAGATTACACGAGATGTGTCATGTACAATGATTCAATTAATATCAGATTCTAACTAAGCCTAACCTTACGTAATAAATTGCTACCAATTAAAATAAACGATAAACTACGCTAAGAATTGATAACCTAAGCATGCAATATCTTACGAAAATTGAAATGAGAGATAGATAGATAGATAGATAGATAGATAGATAGATAGATAGATAGAGAGAGAGAGAGAGAGAGAGAGAGAGAGAGAGAGAGTATATTGGAATATATAATGGTTCAACTTTATTGTTCTCATAGGAGCCTACTCCACTTTTCAATGGTTTCCCATTGGAGTTTGTTTTCTTCCACTATTTTATGACAAATATTGCAAAAATTCATACAATCACTAACCCATAATAATGTTGAGAAAAATAAATCTCCTATCTGGATCTTAACTTGTATATAACTTAATATCAAACTCTTATGCAAAATATTTACTCGATTATCACTTCTTGAATCTTCCAACTTCACACCAATCTGCTCACAGTCTTTTTGTGTGACAATTACCCCTTGATCCCACCAATTTATTGAGCGGTGAACTGTTCGAAGATTGATAAGAACTCCACCTTGTTTGTATCCTTCCATGCAGTCACTGCCACTTTTAGTTGGAGAGAAGAACCTCCTTATTTTTTATGGAGTTTGTCACTACCAATGACAACAACCTCAATCATGCAAACTTCCAGAAAATATTTACCAAAACCTTCAAGAAAGGTTTGTTTCAAGCACATCTCTCTCAAAAATTACAAATCTAAATAATCAAGATCTGAAATCAAACTAGAGGTTGAAGATGAAAGAAATTTTATATGCAAAAGATTTTGAGCTTTCAAAAATGAAGATTATTAATTCTTACAAAATCACTCTTAAAAATGTTATTAATTTTGTGATTTTTTTAATGAGATGACAAAAGAAATTTATATGTGCTTGAGATTAAGCATAAAAATGGATGAAAAATGTTAGTTAGATTCGAGTCTAGAACATTTCATGATTTGAGTCAAATGAATAAGTAGAGTGAAACACGATCAACATAAAGAATTGACCCATTTTTGTGTGATTCAAGTCACCTTATATCTCTAATTCGAGTCATGAAGGCTCATGATTCGAGTCAGGTATAAAGTGTGATTTGAGTCAAGTAGAAAATAGTGCAACTTGTGATTTGAGTCACGTAGCTGCTTGGTTCGAATTAAGTTAAAACTATGATTCAAGTCACAAATGTTGAAAAACTTTTGTTTGCCCTAAGTCAATTTGATCTGAGTCAGGATATGTACATGATTCGAGACATGCATATACAATCTCAATTTTTCATATTTTTCAAAATACTTTGACATTTCTCTTTCCACCTAACTTGAACTAACAACACATATGGTGCTTGTTCCAATAACTCAAGCAATTGACTTAAATCATAATGATCAAACTCAAATACAAACAATTGAATTATGTAAGTTAAAAAATGAATCGATCCAAAACTTGATTCGAAGATGTGTAATCATGAAGGAGACTCAATAAAAAATAATAAACAAAACAAAAACGACAAGTCAAGCAACAAAATTGTATTAAGGTTCTCTCCCTTAATGTTTAGGGACATGTAACTTCAAAAGTAACATTGATGTAGAGCTTTTTTAGCAACTCCACAAACTTCTTAAATTTGGCTTCTATCTTGGTCTTAGCAAGCCTGTGAGGAAACGAAATTGATGGTTTATAGGGAGGAGGAGCAACATAATGTTCCTCTTTTTCTTCCTCAGCAACAACATCCTTTAGAGGTGGTGTTGACTCACTTTCCTTCACTTCATCCCCTTACCACTATCCTCTAATTACATATAACTTCTAACTGTAACAACATTCATGTGTTCCTTAGGATTAGATTCAAGTTGTCCCGACAAAGACTATGGAAGAGACAGATGAGGAGATTTGAGTCTCCAACATCTTATTGTGGGTAGTTATGGAGTCTATTATAGACGCTAGCTTATTCAAAACTTCACTCACTTACAGATTCTAGTTTTTGAATTCATTATTATGTTTGCTCTGACATATGATAAAATTTTCCATCATTACTTTGATATTGGACTTGATAAGAATAATTAAACATTAATTAAAAAAATGTTAAATATATTTGTGGTACTTTTAAATATCTTAAATATTGTTTTAGTCTCTCAAAATATTTTCTTCATAGAATGTACCTCCTAAATTTTTTTATCCACACTTTTTGGTTTCTCTGCAATTTAGCGACAGTTTTCACAAGTTAGCAACTGAATTAACGACGGTTTTAGTGACTGTTTATTGCTTAACGACTGAATTAGCAACTAAATTAGTAAAAAATTTAATATTAGAGACCAAAAGTGTGACTGAAAATATTTAAAGAATTATGTTTTAAAAAAATATTTTAAAAAATTAAAAACAAAATTTAAAATATTTAAAAAGATCAGACACATATTTAACTCTTAAAAAATCTTTTAAAAAGAAATCATCTCAAACTTTATAATGTTCTATCTCTCTCCTCCTCATACATTCAAAGTCCTATCTTGGAATTGGATTCGATGTTGACACTCAATGTATTATACTTTATTGATATACAATATCCACATTCTAAAAACACAAATGTAAAACAATACTCTCACAAAATATCTTCAATGTTTTGACTAGTCATCACTTCATATTCATTCTTCTTTCCTCAAGTTAAATCACACAAAATATCTAACAAGCAATCAACCAGTCATGGTGGAAAGAATAATCCAAGAAGAAGAAAATCAAAGAAGAAGCATGAAGAAACTCGTTCTAATACTCAACTCAATCCTCTTAGCCATAGGAACATGCGGTGGCCCCCTAGTAATGCGTCTGTACTTCATCCATGGCGGCAACCGCGTCTGGCTCTCAAGCTTCCTCGAAACATCTGCCTTCCCAATCATCCTCATTCCCTTAGCCATCTCTCACATCTACAACCGTTACCATTACAGTAACCCTAACGGAAACCACAGCAATAATAACAACAGCTTTGTCTCAATGAAATTACCTTTGTTTTTCGCTTCCGCCATCATAGGAATCCTCACCGGTCTCGACGACTACCTCTACGCCTGCGGCATAAAGCGTCTCCCGGTGTCGACTTCTTCTTTAATCCAATCCTCACACTTAGCTTTCACTGCGGTTTTCGCTTTTCTTGTTGTGAAGCATAAGTTTACAGCGTATTCGGTTAACTCTATTGTGTTGTTGACGCTAGGAAGTGTGGTTTTGGCTTTGAATTCTAAGGGTGGGGATCGACTTGTTGGGGAGTCGACTAAGGAGTACGTGATTGGTTTTGTGATGATATTGGCTTCTGCTGCTTTGTATGGATTTGTTTTGCCGTTGATGGAGTTGGTTTATCAAAAGAGTAAACAAGTTATTACTTATTCTCTTGTTATGGAGATTCAGCTTGTTATGTGCTTCTTTGCTACTTTGTTTTGTGTTGTTGGGATGTTCATAGACAATGATTTTAAGGTGATGTATCTCTTTCTTTATCTAACTCCATTGTTTTTGAGTAACAATGTTAAAATTTTGGTGTCTTATATAAGCATTGGAGTATCATTGTTTGTGTCGTGTCGTATTTTAGTGTGCATGTCGGAGTCTCTGTGTCATGTCTCACTATTCGTGTCAAAGTCCATATTTCATAACTCCTTAGAGGTAAATAAATTGAATATTGGAGATTCGAACTCGCATCATTGTAAACTATGTTTTGCTCTGCTATCAAATGAATTAGACTTAAAATTAAGTAAATTGTGTTGCAATTTTGTAGGTGATTCCAAGGGAAGCAAGGGAGTTTAAGCTAGGAGAAACAAAGTACTATGTTGTGTTAGTATGGAGTGCTATAATGTGGCAGTTTTTCTTCTTAGGAGTGATAGGAGTTATTTTTTGCTCCTCATCTTTATTGTCTGGTGTTATAATTGCTGCGTTTCTTCCCATAACTGAAGTTTTAGCTGTTATTGTCTACAAGGAGAGTTTTCAAGCAGAGAAAGGGGTTGCTTTGGCGCTTTCTCTTTGGGGCTTTGTGTCTTACTTTTATGACGAGATTAAAGAAGCAAGAAAAATGAAAAGTAGAGAAACGGAACTGCCTCAAAGTCATCACTCCAACGCATGATTGCAAGAAATGTTGTTGTTGTTGTTGTTGTGATTGATTGGTTTTGCTATCTAGTCCTACTTTTGAATTGTCAATATTGTTGGCTAACTTTGTCCCACCCAAACTTCATGATAGCCACAAAATAGGTGAAGCCATTTTGTGACTCATGAGTATTGTAGTAGATAGTCTAAGTTTTATACTAATATTATAAATATGAATATATTAGAAAAATTAAAAAAATGAAAGTGAAAATAATGTTTTTATTAAAATATTTATTATTAAAAGTATTGAGAGTAATAAAACTAGTAATAATTTAAGTACAATTAAAAGAAAAAATTATACTGTAAATTGAAATAGATTATTTATTTTAGAACAGTTTATTATTTTAAATAGATCCATCATTCATATAAGATGAAAGGAGTAATTAATTAATAATATATGATGGACAAAAATATGTTTTTTTTATAATCGAAATTGCATTAAATCTAGAGCACTAAAGATGCTCTAACCCAAATACAGGAAAAGACCAAACAATTTAAAAGTCACATAACATAAGACTTTCAATAGGAGCTACAAAAAAGTCTCGAAAGTTACAGTTATTGGGAATATCTCTACCTATAACACTTCATCTCCAAGCAGTTATTCTAATAGTTAATATGATATCATTCACTTTAACTACCTTCCTTTGGAACATGATTCTATTCCTCTTTGTCTAAATAATCCATAACATGGCCCACCATATTAAACCTACATTCCCATCTTTAACAGCCTTAGACCATCTCCAACGGTGGTTCTTCAAATTAGTTTGCCAACTTGGCATTGAAATTGTCAACAAAAAGTTGTTCCAGCTGGTGAACGTTCCTTGCATAAGCAATGGTTCTTCATTTTTTTTATTATTAAAATAATTATTTAACTTGTTGGTTTTATTTTTTTTTTTTAACTTTTTTTTATTTATTATAAATATAAGTTTGTTGCAAAAGTTTATAACAATTCTATTTTCTCTCACTTTTATTTACTCTTTAATTTTAAATTTCTCTCTCACAATTTCATCATTTTATTCATAAATTATTATTTTCAATTTTATGTTTAGTTTATATTTATAGTAATTAAAATTTAAATATTTAAATTATAATTTTAAATAAAATAAATTTAATATAAATAATATATTTAAGTAAAGTAGTGGGACCCAATATGAGTTTTTTGAAGTTGCATCATTGGAGTGAAAATTGAATAAGTTATTTTAGAAGAGTGGGTCCCACAAAGAACCTAAAAATGGGTTGCATCATTGGAGGTGCTCTTATGCAACTCTCTTCTGAACTACCACTATATTAAATAAGACCTTTAGCAGCGTTTTTTTCTTTTACCTTTGTTGCACCCTAAAATTTGACCAACTGGTTTTACCTGATTTGGATTTTCATAGCTTTATCATTTGCATAGTAGGTCATATACATAGTTCATTCATTTGCATAGCATAGTATGTGCAAGCCATCCAACAAGGGATCAAGTGCTATTTTTCATCTCAAGAAGCATATCCAAGGGGTTTTTATTCAAGCCCAAGCTTATTCAAGTCACCAAGAAAGAAGGTGAAGCTCTGAGAAGTTAATAGATCAAGCAGTGGATTTATAGCCTATCTGGGGAGTATTTGAAGATCATCATAGAGGTTGTGAGCTATGAACTGGGGCATGGAATGTGTAGAGACATCATGGAAGACCTAGAGGGTCATTTTGAAGATGAGACAGGTCATTGGTGTGGTGACAACAACTATAGTTGAAGACAGTCAACTAGGGTCTCACCTGGGTCAACCCTAGGTCAAATGCTTGACTGAAGGGCATCAAGGCCTATTTGAAGGATGTGGGGTTCATCATTTGATATGTGGATATGGATGTGGTGTTGTTCCAAGGAGAAATCAAAAGAAATCAAGAAGAAGAGAAGTTTCTAAGTTAGGGTTTCTGTGTAAAATCCCCTGATTTAGGTCAAACTTCCAAGAAAAGTAATTCAAAATGCAAGTCTCAAATGGATCTTTGGCCAACATGAAACTTGTAGAGCATCTCAAGACCTTTAATTTGAGTGGTGGAAGTCATCAAGGAGATATATAGAACTCAAGTTATGGTTCTTGCAAGTTACAGGTCATCTAAGGACACTGAAATTTATCTGTGAAAGTTACTTGACTTCCAAGCAACTTTTGCCCCACGAGGAGTTTTCAAATGGATTTTTGGTGAACATGAAAGTTGTTCCTTATGATCTCCCCTTTTCAAAAAGGTGTGGTATGCCTCAATCGGATTTGTGGAACTCTACTTATGGTCTTGACAAGCCAGGGGTATTTTGGGAAAGTAAGAGTACAGGTCATTTCAAGCATATGCCTAAAACTCCTACTTCCAAAATTCAAATGAAAAAATGTTCAACATCAAACTTGCTCAAAATGATGTTTTGAGTCTAAGTAAAAGGTCATGATAGTTTGAAAATGCATGGAGCTCAAAGTGTCAAAATTGACCAAATATGAAGAGAAAAAGTCCATTTAAAAGTGACCATTTTGTGAATTTTTCATATATGACCAAAACAAGGCATATGATATACCAATTTGAAGGGAAATCACATTTCAAGACTATTGGTATCATTAGTTTTTTGGTTTGAGGTCAAGAAATGGGATTTATCATTGGTTGCTTATGTATGAAGTAACACTTGCCAAATCAAGCTATGGTCAAGGTACAATGCAAGGGATCATTCAAACACTTCTTATTTCTCATTTGAAGAGAAATTCAAGCCTCATTTTGGAGCTGTAACAGGGTTATCACCAACTGGTTTTTCAACTCACCATTTTCAATTTCTCATGCCATGAGATGTCCAATTTCTCACAAGATCATTCTAGTAGCTTCTAGACACTTCCTACCTCCTCTATATAACCATTAGAGCTGATCTAAACCAGTTTTTTGGGATTCATTTGGTGCCAAACTCAGAATTGCATTTCACACTTTTCTTTTGCAAATCAATTTCGTTTTCACTCAATTCTTCATCATTTCTTCAAATTCTTGATTCCATTCAATTCAACAATCATTACTGAGTAGATTGCAAGCAAGATCTGAGAGAGTAATTGCACAAATCGTGTTCTTGAATTCACATGCATTCAACTGCAAGTAGAATTCTGTTATGATGATCCAGGCTATTTGAGGAAGAATCATTGCAAACAGAAGCAAGATACCAACACCTTGAGTGATTCTGGAGCAGCACAAGCCTTGGAGTGAAGCAATTCACCATCTGTTTTCATCAATTTTGCAGGTTAGTAACTTTCACAATTTGGCTCGAATTAGGAAGAAGCTTCATGAATTGTTAGGTTAGACACACTCTAGGTGGTTAGAGGATGGTTTCTGGATAGTTTGACAAGATTTTGTGAAGGTTGATATATGTACACGAATTCTGTTTAGCCATAGAACTTCTTGGATATGGAGTTAAAACCCTAGGTTATTAGTGATATTTGATCAGTGATAAACCAGGAAGAGATTGGTGCATTTAGTTTGTTGATTAGTGATGATGGAATTTTTGAGCATTTCTGAAGTGACAGTCGTGTTTCATGATGAAGGTTGTACCAATTGATGATGATGACATGAATGAATTCAGGATAAAAAATGGATCATGATAGACTTTTAGTTTGTGGATTTTGATGTTGTATTGAGGGAATTCGTGTTTGGATCAGATGAGGTTCATGAGCTCTCATTAATGGAGTTTTGGCTCCAAGGTGGTTTGAATGAGGAAGACAACATGTCATCCGTTAGATCATTGCTGACTTTTGACCAAGACTTGCATCGTGTGGATGATATCATGCTTCAATTTGTGAAGGCTTCAGAGCACATGAAACGTAGCCGTTTCATTTAAGTGGCACTTGGGCTTATGTAGTCAGATTGATAACCACGCCCCATCTTCATGGCCCATTCTGATTCACACTGAAAACCATTGCTAACTGCACCGCGCGTTTTATTATTTCCTTATTGATTTTCTGAATTGTTTTTGTGTTGCATTGGGCTTAATAATTTTGATAAGCGCACCCCTGGATATTGGCCCATGGTTATTTTGAATTGAGCGCAGTTATGCTCTACACCCCCTGGCTTGTTTCTTTTGATTTTGCTTTTATTCATTTTTCTTCACATTTTATAAAATTCATAGAAAATCAGAAAGTAGGAATTTTAATATAGGAATTTTTGCAATAGGTTAGTTTGAATCTTAAGAAAATTATAAATAATAAAAAATATTAGTTTAGTCATTTTCTTTATTTTTGCTATTATTTTACTTTTAATTGTTTTTTCAATTGAATATAGTTTGTATATACTTTTGTAGATTTTATTTTAGGTAGTTCCCTTAATAGTTTTAGGTCAATCTTTTTAGGACAATTAGATATACATGTTAGGTACCCCTGGTTTTTATACCACAATTTTTAGGATTTTATTTTAGGTAGTTTGATTAGATACTATTAGACTAGGTAGATTAGGGTTTATACACAACTTAGGTGCATTAAAACAATTTCTTTTGGGCTTTTTAGGTTGAATTAGAAGCTGGGGCCTATAGGGTATTAAGGGTAGGTATAGTAGATCCCTTAGAAAAAATATTAGAATTTCCCTTATTATATTAATATTTTTAGTATATTTTCCAATTGAGTGATTGTTTGGTTTGCCCATCTTGGGGTTATTGTTTGTTGTGTGGGCTTGTTGGGCTTTCTTGGGGTGTGGGTTAGCTTTGAAGATCTTGTTGATGGAGCATATTAAAGACAAAGCAAAGAATTGAAGGCCAAGTTCAAAGTTGATGAAGATGCTAGGCTTGCTTGAAGATTGATTGAAGATCATAGGACCTAGGAGCTAGGTAGAGCTTTAGAGTAGAAATATGATTCATAAACATGGATGATTTCTGTTGCCTCCATTCTTCTCTATGATTCAAAGTCTCTCTTTGATACTCACCTCCTTCCTTTGGAAGGCTTAGTGATAGTATCTAGGAGATAGAACTTTTGAGAGAAACAGTCTGTATTTTGTTAACAGTTT